GCAAAATGAGTGTTTAATGTTCATTAAGTACCTAAAATATTGATTTTTTTTCCCAGCAACATGATTATGCTATTATTTTTATAGCCTGATAATGATTAAATAGTTTTTCATTACTTCCCTAGAAGGTGTGTCTTTTTCTTGTTTTACTGGCAAGCATGTTTCCTCTTCTAATTTGCAGCTGATTACCGAAGATAAAAACGAGTTGCCCTTGGTGTTGCAGAATCCCGCTTTCTTTCCTATAAAATTTTCATTCAGATTTTATTTGTGTGCATCATATGGTCTATCTGGTGTCCTTTCTTATGTGTATGTGTGTGTTCTTGTGCAGAAATATATTGTGAGGTATATTACTATAAGCTTGCTTATACAGAGATACTGCCCAGAATACTTCTGACTTGCTGACTGTATCAGTACAGGAAATTATTCTGGAATATGGTATTTTAAATTCATACCTAAACTTGTTTTTCACTCACTTCCCTTCTAGGCCAGTGTTGATTTAACACTATTACATTGTTAAGGAAACACAGAGTAATGTTACTTTCTGTTTGTTTCCTTCTATTCTGTATTTGGTTTCACTGTAGTGGAAGCCAGTAGCAACCACTTGAAAGTTGACTCACATCATGTTCGGTTTTTTGGTTTTTTTTTTAAAATGGCTTTCTGAGGCAGTGTAAATTTCTAGTGTGAAGAAGGCCTTGAGAGAACTGTGTGCTTAGAAGAGGAAATCATGTCTTGAGACTGATTTAGACCCTGCTGCAGTATAAGTTCAGAAAAGGGAGCTTTCCAAGCTCATAAATAGCAGAAATAAAATGTAGGCAGTAGGGTACAGCTGTAACTGGAAGGAAGACCCCACCATTGCAACTGAGGAGTTGACTGTCTGTACTTGCATGACAGTTGTTAAGGAATGGAAGAAAGGAGAGGGGGACCCAAGTATTCTAGCATCTCATTTATTGTCGGTTCATCACTTGGGACAAATGTTTTCACCAAGTACCAGGGAATGATCAACCAGTACCAGATGGAATGGCTGGCTTCTCTTCCAGTTTACTGCAAGGTGACATCCATCATCTGATGTAATTAGTGCAGTTAGTTGAGAATAGAGATCTCTTTCTACAGTGTGTACGACTTGTATTTTAATTCAGGTAGATAGTGAGGCTTACCTCTGAATATAATTTGTATTTCTATACATGTATACATATATATGTGTATTTCTATGTATAATTTGCTTTTCTATAAAAAGCTTAGGTTTTGTATTTTAACTGCATTTGCAGAAAGAACACTGTTTAGATTGAAATAACAAACATTCAGCAGTTATGTCAGAAAGGAAACTACAGATTTGTGGGCAACCGCTCCTCATACATCTTGCTCCCAAACAAGTATTACCAACAAACTAAAGTTGGATATCATTTGAGTTCCTTTTAGTTTAAAACAGAGTTCTATTATGTCTGCCTTTTATGGACTGCAGAGTAACTGAGTCCTGAGAAAATGCCAAGTCTGGGAATATTCTCTTGGTATCAGGAATGTGAAGTGGTGGTTTGGGGTTTGTTTTGTTTTTTAAAGGGTGCTCAAAATAACCACTGGAAAGTTGGTTGCATAATAATTGCACTGCATTCAGAAATAATAAATTTCGTTTGTGTGTAGAGAACAAGTTAATATATTTTCTTCTTTTCTTGCTCTTGTTGAGTTTTGTAATGCTTTTAAAGCAATATAGAGTCATAGAAGTGTTTGGGCTGGAAGGAACTGTAAAGGTCAGCTAATTCTAACCCACTTGCCCAGGGCAGGGATGCCTCCCACTAGATCAGATTGCTCAAGGCCTTATCCAGCCTGGCTTTGAACACAGCCAGGGTTGGGGCATCTACAGCCTCCCTGGACAACCTATTCCAGTATCTCACCATCCTCACAGTAAAGAATTTCTTCCCAATATCTGATCTAAATTTCCCTTCTTTCAGTTTGTACTTTTTACTCCCTGTCCTATCACGACAGTTCTTGATGAAGGATCCCCCTCTTGCTTCCCTGTCGGCCCCCTTCAGATTCTGGAATGTTGCTATGGGGTCTCCATGCAAACTTCTCTCCTCTAGGCTGAACAGCCCCAACTTTCTCAGCCTGCCTTCATAGGAAAGGTGCTCATACCATCTTCATGGCCCTCCTCTGGACTTGCTCCGAAAGTTCCATTTCCTTCCTATGTCCACCTGATTACTTTGCATCCCTGAAGGCAGTAGGTAAAAAAGTTTTGAGAACATTGTTTCACGTGTTTTTGACTTTCCCATGATTACCAGGGAGCAAATAGCTAAAACAGATAAGCAGAAATGAATCAAAGTATCTGAAGTAATGTGTACTTGGCAGTCTGTTTTGCTGATCTGTTCTGTTCCTCCTTTGGGATTCTCCAAGATTCAGTGGGTGGTTTAAGTAGTATGTAATCCAACTGATCACATACTAATTTAAAAGATAAAACCAAAAATGTCCAGCAGCAATTTATTCCTTTGACAAGTAAAAGGAAACAGTATTTCTTTCAGACTCTGTAAAGATTCAGCTGGGAGTCAATGGTGGTAGCATTTTCTCCTGAAAAGACAGAAGTTCCGGTTATTAGGTGGAGTACTCAGCATGCCTATGCGCACACACATGCAAAATTTTGACTTTCTTAAAATGGAAACAGGCACCTAAACTTAGAGGACATCTTGGATTTGTCTTGGGTGTTCTAAAACTATTCTTAGAACTATATTCTTCACATTAAAGTATCTTTTTTCACGCCCTGATTTTAAAAGTTGCATGTTCTATGCATTATTCCAAATCACGTGCTGGAGTTTTTTAATATATACAGACTCTCACACGCATTCTCAGGATTTCTTATGTGCAGCTCATTTCCAATTTTGTAATATTTTGAAAAAAAATAATCTTTTGAAGAAGAATTGTCAGTCTGGGAGAAGCATGTGTTAGGACATGGTGACCTGGGTGGACAGCTGCTTTGCATTTATAGACAGTACTGAAATGATCAGAGGCAAAAGGATAATTTCAGTACTAATTTCTGCATATAAATTTTGCAGAATGCTTGAAAAACTTAAAAATTAGTGTTTCAGAAACACAGTTTTAGAACTCTGGCTCTACTAACTTATTACTCTAACTCATTGGTTCACATTTTGGTGCATATAGATGAAAGGAAAGACTGGAGTGAGGAATACATACTCTTAGAGGAAAATCTTCGAATATCCTGAGGTGGAAGTAACTCTTCAAGATCATTGAAGTTCAGCTGCTGGTCTTGCACAACACCATTCCTAAGATTCATTTTGTGCCCAAGAGCTGTCCAAATGGTGCTGTGGCCAAATCCAGGCTAGTGCTGTGGCCACTTCCCTGGGGAGCCTGTTCCAGTGCCCAACCACCCTCTGGATGAAGAACATTTCCTTTATATAACTAAACGTTATAAATATATAAATAAAACTAAACATTCTCTGACACAACTTGAGGCCATTCCCTCAGGTCCTGCCACTGGATAGGTTAGAGAATATTTAAGCTAACGGAGTGTACTTAAGTCTGTGGGCCTTGATGGAGTGCACATGAGTTTTGAGACACCTGGCAGCTCTCATTGTGAAGCCAGCTTGATTATTTTCTAATTATCATGATGGCTGGGAGAGCTGACTGAGGACTCAAGGAAAGCAAATGTCAACTCCAAAAAGGGCAAGAAGGAGGATCCAGGAAACTAGGTTAGTCAGCCAGACCTTAATCCCCAGGAAAATCATGGAGAAACTAAGTGTTTCAGTATACATGGAGGACAAAAAAGTAGCTGGGCTTATTCAGTTATCCACAATGGTGAAATGATGTTTGACCAGCCTGAAGGGAGGGTGTAAAGAGCTTTTTTCAGTGCTGCCCAGTGGCAGTACTAAAGGCAATGGGTAAAAAGGGAAATAAAGGAGTTTCTGTCTGAACATCAGGAAACACTTTTTCACTGTCAGGCTGTCTGAGCCCTGGCACAGGCTGCAGAAGGAGGTTGGAGTTCCTCATTAAATTGATGAAAAGGATTCTCAGATTTATTTTATTCACTATAACCCACAGAAGAAATAGAAAATTAATAAGAAGTTAAAACTGTAGATAGTATATTGCTTTATGTTAACTAACAGTCAGTTGTGTGTTAACTTACAGTAGATTGGATTACATGTAATGCCTAGATAGCTCTTCAGATGACATTAACAAGAATGCAGGTTTTTTACTTTCTTGATGCTGGTAAGTTCTGAAATTCTTTCCTTGTTTGACAAGGAGTTTCACTTTTCAGGAGATTTTCAAATTCAGTGCAGAAAACACTGAATTAAGTGCAGAGCACAAGAAGATAAGATTCACTGCTGCTTAGAGCTTTCTGGTGACCAGTTTCTCACAGAAGAGGAAAGGATGAAGACTGGGCAGTTTTTATAGGATAGACTCTCCTTGACAAGAGTGACAGAACACTTTCTTCATCAGAATTTTGTCAGTGGCAGGCGGAGCTTGCTACTGAAGTGGTGTGGAGAGTGTTGTTTTGTGTGGAAATGTCCTGAGTCTCTCACTGTCTTAAAACGTGAGCATTAGCATTGCTGCAGCATAGTGGTCCTCATTCAAGTGTTAAAAAGGAGGGCTTTCCAAAGACATCTGGTCCATTTGATGCACTCTAGGTGTGCTTTAAGATGACTAAATTCTTAGAAGATTGGTTTCCATTAATTGGTTGTGTATCTGGAACAGAAATATGAATGCAGTAATATAGGCCAAAGAGGAAAAGCTTGGGAATTGCTAACTTCTGTCAACTCTGTTATTGTCTGGATCCTGATGCTATAAGTTTAAGCTACGTTGTTCAGTTGTTACTGGACTGTAAGGTGTAACAAAGAGCTACCTGTCTTAATTATGCAAATAGCATTGCTAAGTGGTTTTTGGCCTATATTTGGCATCAGCTTGTTCATTGGGTTCAGCGGCACTGGTATTTTTCAGCATATTGTGAATTTGTAAATATTTGTAAACCATTAATCTAAATTTATTCCTCTGTTTTCCTCTGCCAGGAAGAAGGAAATATTAAAGAAATTGCAATAACTCACCATGTAAAGGAAGGACATGAGAAAGCAGACCCTTCACAGTTTGAACTTCTGAAAGTACTAGGACAAGGATCCTTTGGGAAGGTTGGTAACTGAACTCTTGTAGAACCAATTATTCAGGAATATAGCATTGAATACTGGTTGTGAAATATTTAGAACAGCCACGGTTTTGCATTAAGGCAATGTTGCAAGTGAAAACTGCTTTCTAAATTAGTGCTAACTAGGCACTGTAATTGTGGCATATCTTTTTGAAGCAGTAATTTTTTTTACATGTTTGCATGATATGTGGGTTTCAAAGTTGAATAAAAAAATGGCTTGATATGAAGTAATTGGGTATTTCCAGTTAAAATGGAACATCATTCTTCTTTAACTACCACTCTATTTGAGAGGGTGCAGATTGAAAGGTTTTTTTGGCAAGTATTGTTGCTTGCTAATGGTAGGACATTACCAGTACAGAAGTTGTTTTTTGTAACATGTTGCAATTGTAATGAAAAAATTTTAGGCAATAATGGCTACTGAAGTAAATGTGATACACCCCAGTCATGTTCATTATTTTTCATAATTTGTTTAAGGTGAAATGTACCTTGATACTTATCTGAACATCTGTTAAAGACTCAATGTTTCTAGCATTTCATAAGTACTGCGATCTCACTAAGCATAAATTTTTTAAACTTTTAGTAGCTGTCCAAATCCAACTTGAAAGCAAAACATTAAGTTCACATGGCAAGACGGATCATCAAGACTGAATAGAATATGTAGGGCAAGACAGCAGAGCATTTACATCAATTTTCAGCCTTAATTGCAGTTCTGAATGTGATGTTAAGGTCTAGCATGTGAAAAACCCACCTTAGATATGGAGGAAAATTAGAAAAATAGGTCCAATTGTCTTTTCATGGTAGTAAGTTACTGTTAGTCACATTATTGTTCCAGCTGAATTTGGAAATCTAGGTGCTTAGGAACTATAAAATTCTGTATTCGTACTAGTAAGAATTGACCTGATTTCAAAGGTTTGTTTTAATCCAGAATCATAAAAAGTTTTTATTTGGAAATCTTCAGATCACGAGAAGTAAATCATTCAAGGGTAAGGAGAAGTAAGCTAATAAATGATCATTTCACCATTCACTTTTATTGATAATACTAAATTCAGCACTTTAATGGGAGGGAGAAAAGGGAATGTGAGTTTAAAAAAATCAAAACGTACTGTCTAGCTGACTCAAATTTCTGTAAAATGCCAGTCTTGTCCTCAGTTGTCTTAGCCTTTATGCAAAAATCATCAATATTTTTTTAAAAAACATAAATCATTTTGTTCTAATAATTTGTGAAGATGTCACTGTTCCATATTTAGTTCAAAGAAAGTAAATCTGTGTGCTTCTTAAGGTCTCCTGATGATGATCTGGTAGTCTCTGGATGATGCAAGGGATGTTAACATAAGTGAGAACTGGACATAAAACCAGACATCAAACTGATTTCATATAACATGTTTAACTTCCTAATGTACCACGTGTCTGTACATATCCATAGCCAGAAAACCTGTGACAGTTTGGCTTATTTATTTATTTATTTATTTTAATTTCTAAATCTAAAATTAGTCTCTACTGGAATTACTTTTGTGTTAAGGGTATTAGAAACAATGCCAGGCAAGAAATTCCATGGTACTGAAGAAGGAAATGAAACTCCTTTTGTTGAGGTTGGTTTTTCTTTATTGGTACATGCAACACTAGGATATTTTTTTAATTTATTTAATTATACATTGATTTATATAGGTTTCTGGATCAAATTTTGTTCACATTTATTGTCATATCTGAAAATTATTTTATTAGCACATTTGCTGTGCCACCCTATGAATTTCAAGAAGATAAAACTAGAGATTAATTTTAAAAAGCTGATTTTTGTGTTTCCAATTTGGATGAACTTCTCAGAGAATCCTTTTTTTTTTTTACTCACTGAAATTAATTTGGCAGAGTATCTTGAATTAACCTTTTAGATTATGAAATAAAGGAATAGGAGGAAAGAAATAAAAGGAGGTTTGGTTTTTCAGAATCTACCGCTGTCAAACAGAGTTGCATTGAAATCATAGTGACTACTCAAATTTCATAGCAAAATACATTAATTTGACTTGCTTTTATTTTGTTTTAAAAATTCTTTATAATTTTTAATGCAGGTCTTCCTTGTCAAAAAAATCTCAGGATCAGATGCTAGACAGCTTTATGCAATGAAGGTATTGAAAAAGGCCACCTTGAAAGGTAAGCATTGTTTAGAAAAATGGAAGAGAAATAAAAGAGATAAATCAGGGACATTATACCAAAATCTAATCTTTACACAGGTGCTGCTCTACAGATTGTGTCTTAGAGCTTTCTTCTCTGAAATGGGAAATAGCAGAATACATTGTTTTGTCTTGTAAACCTGGAAGGATTAAGGATTAACAATACAATATCTGTAGTTAGAGAGGACAGCATTCCACTTTCCTCCTGTGATGGTGGGTTAATAGAGCGGTTGTGTTACATCTGCCACCTGACTTGCTCTTGAGCTGTTATTTGAAACTTAATATCCTTCCGTTTTTCCTTTGCTGTGTGTCACCAAGGATACAGTTAATGCCTTTTGCTCAGTTTATAATTAGGTCATGATATTTAAAAGTGCATTCGTTATATTGGCTGTTTTATTCTAGAAGTTCTTAAGCACATGACTTAAAGTCTTTTTTTTTTGGAACAGATATGTACAGTACATTTGCCCCAAACACTTGGCACATGATCTCAGTGTAGAATGCATTTTATAAAATCTTGTATTTTATAAAAAATCTTTGTGTTTTATAAAATTAATTTACTTGATCAAAAATGAACTGTGAATTTTTCTGTTTCTTGAGTGGTTTTGATCTCAAATGCTGTCAGTAGCAAAATAAGTCTAATCCTGAACAATCTCAATTCTGTCTCAGAGAATTCTGTAAGAAAAAATAAACAAGGTATTTTTTACCATAGATCAAAATTAAAGTCATCTTTTTCACTAATACCTTAACCAAATTGTATGCTTGTCCTTTTATGCCATTGTTTAATAGTTTTGTCTATGTGAAGTTCTTCTAATTCACGACTGTACTGAAACTGAAATGATAATTTTGGGATAGATCCAACAGCTTGTAGTGCTTTACCTATGTTATAAATTATTATATTGTTTTATCGTAAAATATTTATAGAATGATGGTGGGAACAAAAACATAGGATTATGAACTTCTGATGACATGTTCACATTTTTTCACTTAAGATCTAGTGCTGAATGTCACAGATCTTACACATAAACTATCATGGAGGGTGTGTTTTTGAACAGTTTCCTATATTTTGATTCCTTTGTGTTTTGTGGCACGTGTCATTCTCATTATTTACTTCCTATTTTTCTGAATTTGATTTCCATTCATTTAAGGTACATTAATACCCTCAGCAGCCTTTCATTCCCCAGCCTGTTAATAGCTCGTGATTGGTCAAAGGTCACTCAGCAGTTGCTTTTTTTAAGATGTTTGAGGGCTTCTCTTCTTCACCTTTTGATTGCAGTTTAATCTTGTGTAAAAATTCCAGTCCAAGCTGTGGTCCTAGTTTTGCCTACAGATGGGAGAGACTGATAAATACAGAAACTGGGAGCATGACTTTTAGTTGGGAAAGGAGACACTCTGAGGCACTAAGAATTCAAGGATGCAAAAGGCTTGAGCAGAAAGGTGACACCATCAGGAGGATGCCATGGTTCTCAACACTTTGTTTCTGGATTATCAGATGCTTTTCATGCACTGCTTGCTTATGATTAATGTTTTAGGAAGAATAGAGTTGAAAGCAAATTAAGGTTACTGTTGAAACTTCAATATGAAATTAAATGGAATTAATTCTATTTTCCAAAATTGCAACTTTTTATATATATAATACTATATTTTTTAAATAATGCGGTATATTACTTGATTTGCCTTTGTGTTTCTTTAACTCTTTCAAATCTATTTCACAAAGTTATTTTTGTGCTCTATAATTAAAGATAAAAAGACCACACTTGAAAACAGTGTACCTGATACACAAATCAAAATTAGAGAATATTTTATAAAAATGCAGCTGTATTAGCCAGAACACACTGATGTAACTACACAGTCCAACTTTTTAATGTTTAGAGCAGATCCAAGAATATATATACACATATAATTTTGTTTACTTCAGAGACTAGTTTATTAATACACTCTGATAGAAGGTGTTATCTCTCAGTCCCCCTTTCTGATGTGGAGAGAGAAACAGAGCCAAAACATTGCTAGAGCATCTGGAATCAAATGTGTTAAGAAAAATCAGTGCTTCCAGTAGAACACATATGGAAATTACAGTCAAGCAAAAATCAGATGTCAGGTCAAATAACGGCTTATGCAAATGTCTGAATTGAGCTCAGTTCTTTACACTTTTTTTGCTTGTGGATTTGTTAAGTCCATAATTTCCATGTAACTGTTGCATCACTGCAGGCACTTGAAAGTCTCATAAATTTATTTCTCACCTGAACCTGCCTAAAAAAACCGAAGAATATTCTGAATTTCAGTCGTGTAATTCAGATGAACTGCTGAAACAGTTAAGCTGCACAACTGTCTTGTGACATTTTAATGGCTTTAGATGCAAAGGTCACCATTCAAATGTGATGTTTGCTCTGTATTTGAGCACTTATTTCATGAGGATCCATTTTTAGGACTGTGTTCTGCAGGCAGATGGAAACTTCATAGTTGTATTCATTCGTTCATGAAAACATATCTATGTAACTTTTTCATAAGTATTTTATTATTGCAAATGCCCGTTTCTGGAAAAAGATAGATAAATGCTTGAACAGAATTTTGCTTCTTGTTTTTTTTTTTTTATTTTCTGCCTTATGTTTTAATATCTGAGAACTCTGGCTTGTTAACTGTACAAGGAATGCCATCAACTTAAACTTTGGATGTGACTTCATTGCTCTGGGGTGCTTCTTTCAGGAAGATACATGACTTACGAAAGGAGCAGTAAGAAAATGTAGAATAGAGGGAAAGAGGAAAACACAGCACCTTAAACCACTGAAAGCGAACTTTGATAGCTCCTCCCCTGTGCAGAGTTCCAAATTTTGTCTGTGTCCTGGCTGATGCAGAGCTTCAGATACGAAGCAAGCCCTGACTGGAGCTGGCAGGAGAGCTGTGGAGAACAGCTGAAGCAGGTGCTGTGCTCAGCTGACTGCTCTGCCTGTATTCCTGCATTGCTGGCATGTGGTGCTTGCTTGGGTTTAATCTCTGGTGGCACTGGGACACTTGCATGTCCCATTCAGAGCAGCCATGGAGAGACAGCACAGACAGCTTGAGCAGCAACTGCTTCTAATGTCTGATCTATTCCTCCATCCACATTTACTCTCAATAAGTGTCCTTAAAATCAAAAAATATAATCTGAAGTATACACTACATTGAACCAATAGTATTTTAATTTTAAGTTCATAATAAAGGAAATGAAAAAAACGCCTTCCAAATTGTAAAGGACTTAATATTTTATTAGTGTCAGTTACTTTATGAGTTAAGCCAATATAAATATCTTTATGATAGTATTTTATTTATACTGTGTTTGTTTTGCTCTGACTTGAATTCTCTATGCTTTTCAGTAGCAGAATGTTTTCTATACATAGTTGTAGCAGTTTTGCTGTAATGTTTAAAAGGTTAACTAAGGATAAAGCAGACTGAAGGAGGGGTGGCTGTTTTCTCATGTGCTTTTGTTAAATTTATTTGCCTAGTGTTAGGTTTTGTCAATAGCAAAAACTGAAGCAAATCAAAACATATAAAGATACTTACTAGAAAAAAATGTGGAATGAATTCTCTCAGTTCTCAGCTGTGTACAGTATAATGACCTGCAGACAATTATAATATTACAGGACACAATGGGAAGAACATCAGGAAACATATGAGAAATACTAAGTTATAATGTAATTTTTTATTTTTTAAATCTTGCACACATTCTGTTGTAGTTCGAGATCGGGTTCGGACAAAAATGGAACGTGATATCCTAGTAGAAGTTAACCATCCTTTTATTGTCAAGTTACATTATGGTGAGTTGCAGAAATATTCATTTTTATAGCATGAAAATGTGTGTTTGTCAAGTTTTTAATATTTGCTTTGTGGTTCTGAAAATCATAGAACTTGAGTGTGTTAAGTCTCAATTGTGCAAAGACTTGCTCTGTAATAATTCTTGTGTAAAAGCACGACTGACTTCCTGCAGTGATAAATTTTTATGGCACTAAGACTCTGTAGCCCTTTATGTTATTAAAAGCGTTTATCTATTAAGAACTAGCCATTATTTTCCAAAACCTCTAATCTTTTGTGTGACATACATTTTTAAATTTACTTCTTACAGTTACTTTGTTGATTCTATAGAAAATGTATGCAATGGCATTAATTCCACTTGCATTGAAATTGGTGGAAATTAGCCTTTTAATTTTAATAGTTTGAGCACCTGTAACAGAATACTTATGCATTAAGATGAGAGGATATCAGTACTTCTAACATGTGAAAAAAAAAAGGGGAGTTTCTGTTTTGTTTTGGTTTGGGGTTTTTTCATATTTTTCTTTTAGCTGGTTTTTTTTTTCCTACAGTTAAACCTCATGTCTCTCACTTTCTAATGTGGCTTAACTCATGTACCTTTCACTATTTTATTTGCCATTCTTTTGCAAACTACAGTAAATGTCCCTGTTAAGCTGAGTTTCTAGAGATTTTTAAAGGTTCATTAGTTACTAGTTTGCCCTTTTAAATCTGGCTTCTTACTTTAACATCTGGAACGAAACGCTGGCTAACCTAAGTTTATTTTTAAGGAATTTTATTGGTGATTTGCTTTACTTTCATATGGCATACATAGGAATTACTTGGTCCATGGTAGGGGATCAGTTACCTAATTAATTTCACTGTGTTTTCCCATAAAGGAGAAAGAGAAATTAATTTTAATAATGAAAATAAGGATATTTGGTATATTATTTTTCTGATCATGAATAAAGTTAGGTGATATTTAATTTTTTTAATTTATCTTTTCAGCTTTTCAAACAGAAGGGAAGCTGTATCTTATTTTGGATTTTCTCAGGGGAGGAGACTTGTTTACACGTTTATCCAAAGAGGTACACTTTTTAAATTTGAAAAATTGTCTGTTGATAGAATTTGACTGTAAAGTGTCTGTATTAGTAGAGTTTACATTTCAAATTCCATTTTCATGGAATAAAATTTTAATCTCTTTTTAACCAGGTTCGTTTTTTGTTTGGTTGGGGTTTTTTGCACCATCACTTCATGGAACAGCTGATGGCAGTTTACATTATTTCTGAAAAAAGTCTTAGACAAGCAGTCTTTCTGTGCTTTTTATACCTGGCCTAATTTTCTTCCGTTGCTACCGTGTTTAAATATAAGACTCTGAACCTGGATTTATATAAAGTAAATTTATGTCTAGTTTTAAAGCCCAGAATTCAGGGATAGAGAAGATCCTCTTTTTTTAATCCATGAACACAAAATTGCATTATGTGCAAATATTTAAAAAGAAAATTGTATTCAACTTATTTTATTAATTTCCAAAAAGTGAATGCTTTGCCTCTGTTATAATGGTAATATGTCTTATAGATATAAGAAATAATAACTTTGAAGAGTTTCATTACCTCAATTCAATTTGATTATTGTTCCTAAAATAAATGTTAGCATCTAATAGATCACTATATTTTTTGAAAAATTTGTTTTCCATTACTCATGTTCAAAAACTCACAGCAAATATCTCTTAGGAGAGACACTATATCCAGTGTGTATCTGGTAGCCTGGACTTGCAGTTGTAGCTGCTTTCCATATTCTTTTGCTACAACAGTATCTGGGTCACCACTTCAAAGCTATGGTTGTTAAGAGGAGAGTAGAATGGAATTTACTTTGTATATAGATGTACATTACTTCTGTGTTGACCATATAAATTATAAATTTACATTTATTTTGATGATGCTGTTTCAAGTTACCCTTTGTTGTTTGTTTTGCCACAGATAATTAATAAGTTATTAGTGCTCTAAAATTGAGATACTTTTCTCTTAAAGTTCATAGTTCATTATTGAGTCCCCAAAAAGAAAGTATATTGGCTTCCTGCTGATGATTTCTTAGTCTTGAGCTGCTCATATTATATAAAATTTAACATGGTTAGATGACCAATATTCATTATAGGTACCTGAATCTAAGCAAAGTGTTCATAACTGGTGAGTGAAACAGGCATGCTGGATGTGTTAATGTCATCCTCATAACACCACTCCATGTGATTTTGAGATAGTTCAGATGAACTACAAGTTGTTGCTTTTTTCCTATTGACTACAAAGGGAAAGATGATTAATTCAAAGCTAGATGTCTATACTGCAGATGTTTAAGGTTAGTAAAGATGAGTCCCATGCAACGGTTTTAAAGAATGTAGTGTGGGTGTATTATCCTCCTCATGGGATCTTTTATTATTTGAGCTTTTAAATGTTTCTTATAGAGATTTCCTTTCTTGAATATACCTACACTAAATATTGGCTCTTTTGTAGAAGTAACATCAGCAACAACCTTTTGTACAAGCTTCAGTATCGCTTTCTCTCATGAAACTACTAAGGAGGAAACGTATTCTCCATTCTTAACTCTTGTTTAAATAATAGTCAGTTTTGTTCCTTATTGCCATTTCTTTTTTCTGGGTCTATATGCTTTATCTTAGGTATCCATCTTAGATTCTAAAAACAAAGCAGATAAAATAATTGAGTTGTAACTGAAATAAAATAAAATCATACAGGTTCTGGTTTTAGTTTTACCTTTTTCTGCAGTCTCAGAAGAGTTGAATTGTAATATATTCTGTCACAGATCACAACAGTTGATATATTGGTACAATATGTTCATTTCAATGAACGTTAACAGAGTGTAGTTTATCTTCCAAATCCAAAAAGTGGGATTGCTACCTGGGATCCTCCCTGTGCTCCTATGCATGCTGTTCACGTAGTTTACTCCTTGATCTGCCTTTTCTACAGTTGTATCTCAGACTGCACCTTGAGGCTTTTACCATCGCTGTAACTTCTTTCTCAAAATACCTAGAAACACTCTTTCCAAAACCAAGATACATACACTTTGCTTCTCTCTTACTTCATGGATGAAATTCATGAAGGCGTTTGGACTTCTTTGGTCCATTTGTTGTCTGCAAATGAAATGGTCCCATCCAACCAAGACATTCTTTAAGTGCTTCCGAAATACTTCAGTTTCACTACAACACGTCTGTCTGTTTTCTTGAACAATCAGAAACAGATAATCTCCCAGTTTTCAGAAAGAATCATGCCTTTAAAAGTTTTTTGTCAAGCATATCCAAGTATTTAAAGTATGTAATAGTGTGGGTTATAAAATCTCTAGTTTTTGTGTAACCAAGAAATTCTAATTTTCTAGTGTTTTGTGTAGAGATGAATTCAAGTATTGTAAGAAACCCTTCTGAAAAACACTGTTGTTGTTTTGTTGGTGCTGGTGTAACCTTTTCAGATTTCACATGTGAAATACATTCATTGTTACTTTTTCAGGTGATGTTCACAGAAGATGACGTTAAATTTTATCTGGCAGAATTAGCACTTGCTTTAGACCATCTACATAGTCTTGGAATAATATACCGGGACCTGAAACCAGAAAAGTAAGTCTCCTATGTGAGAAATGCAGTGTATTAATTTCATTTCTGTAGCACTTCTTCCTGTGCACTTTTTCACAACTGTTGAACTTGGTAATTTGCTATATAAATTGAACAGAGGGAGGTGAGGGAGGTTTATGAGCTAATTTATACAAGTTAGTTGTTAGGCACAGTCTGTCTTTCAGACAGTTCTTTCAAACTGTCTGAAAGTTTGGGGGTCTTTGGGGATATTGGGCAGTCTTTTCTTCCCCTATAGTCCATGCCTGCTTCTCAACCTCATTCCCACACTTGTGCTGTACCGGGTTGTGCTTATCTTCAGGAATTAGAACAAGGATGTTGGTCCCGGAAAAGAGCTGGTCTATCTCTGCATGGCCTCTCCTCTGGGCACGTCTTGTTCTTTCTCACAGTGTTATTACCAGCAATCCTTGCTTATTACTAGCAGTTCTTATCTGTTATTACCGACAATCTGCGGTTGGCCCCAGAGCCGTATGACTTCCAGTGTTTGAGACATACATGTTAGCTAGCCCCTTATCTTCTGTGATTCTATGCCTTTAACACCACTTCCCACAGCATTCTTCTGGAGAAACTGGCTTCCCATGGTGTGGATGGGTGCATTCTTCACTGGGTAAAAGAACTGACTGGATGGCCCAGAGAGTGGTGGTAAATGGAATTACATCCAGCCAGGGGATGGTCACTAGAGGCGTTCCCCAGGGCTCTGTGTTGGCACCAGTATTGTTTAGCATCTTCATTGGAGATCTGGATGAGGGCATTGAGTGCTCCCTGAGCAAGCCTGCAAACAACACCAAGTTGTGTGGAAGTGTTGATCTGCTGTTGGGCAGGAAGACAATGTTTGCATATGGCACTTGAGGACATGCTTTAATGGTTCCCACCATGGGAACTACTGCAGAGTGGAAGAGGAAGGGGATGGGGTCTGGGTCATGTCTTAACCCCAGGATGAAAGGCAGGTAGAGGAACTAAATCCACCGTGTAGGAGGTGTTACAAAATCCAGTTCTTGAATGCTTTGCAATGCAGTGATATTCAGTGGTGGTCAAGAACAGTTGGCATCTCAGGGAAGTGTGGCTTTTTTTGTGACTGAGGTGAAAAGGTGAAAGGCTAAGGTGTGCTCTGAGTACAGTGGCTTTGGGTCCTATTCTTTGGTACAACATGAGAATATTTATTATTCAATGTTACTTGAAGTGATCGATAACTTTTGAAATAGTAATTACAAATTAATACCTGTTATGTAAGCATATGAAAACATAGCTGGTATAAGAGACATAGAACTTTGCCTCTGTTTTTAACAATTATAATAGTGCTGCATGTGCTGCAGATGGCCATAACTATTACTACATACTGAATTTCATCAAATAGTTGAATAAAACTCCAATAAACTTGTTTCATAATCTTAAACATGAAAGAGTAGAAGAAGAAAATGTGTCATTTGAATGTATCTTCTGATAATTCATTTCCATGCATGTTTAATTCTCCCTGTCCTTGTGTATCCTCTACTGTTTCTTCCTAAATGTTGTCAGTATGTTGTCTGAAACAACACTTAAAAGATATTTTAATTTGGTTTTTTATATTATTTTTATTGTTTTTTAGCATCCTGCTTGATGAGGAAGGACATATCAAATTGACAGGTGAATAAAGGAGTTGCAATACTAGGATAACTTCTGTTCATTGTTAATTCTTTGCATTTTCCTTTTGGTAAACCAATATGAGAAAATAAGTAATTTTAACTGATGGGTAATTTAGCTGTGGAAGCAAGTAGTGTAATTAGCTTGAAATAAATTAAATCTGTAAATATTGCAATATGATACCACCTTTACCTTTTAGTATACCTATACCTTTTAAGTATATCTGATGTTATGGATCTATGATAATGGGGGGAGGGAAGGAGAATCCTGTAATTCCCATATTAGTGTTCAGCTCTATATACGAATGATGAAAGCATAACACTTCATATTAAGGTGAAAATATCAACCGTGAGAGGTTTTTTTTAAAAAATTACATTTGGAATTTTTTTTTTTTCCTTGCAGATTTTGGCTTAAGTAAGGAGTCAATTGATCATGAAAAAAAAGCCTACTCTTTCTGTGGAACAGTGGAATATATGGCCCCAGAAGTTGTTAACAGACGAGGCCATACACAGAGTGCAGACTGGTGGTCTTTTGGTGTTTTAATGGTAGGTTTCTGGTAAATGTAAATAATAGCAAAATTGTGATTTGACAGGTCTGATAAAACAAATCAAGCACTGTCCCCTAACGTGAGCTTTATATGAATTTTAACTACAAAGGAAGTCTAAAATGCGTGAAATTAATAACACCACAGAGTTTGATCAAGAACATGGACTAGGTATCATATCAGCACCAATAATATGCCATATTTTTATTACCATTTAATTCAAATACTTTGTAGTAATTTGAATGTTACGGGGAACAAGAGAAGTACAGAAGTTTACAGAAAAATGCCGTACATTCCAAAGTGGGGAAGAAATTCATATTCAAATTTTAAATTTGAATTTACGTTCAAGAGGAAAAAGGAGATTGGTAACTTTCTAATTAGAGTCTACACTATCATTACAAGTTAGTGGAATAATGACAACTGTTGTTCTCACACATCAAAATTATCTAAATGACACTGAGCTGATCTGGGATATAGTTTCTCAGTTGCTTATGTTTTTTTTATGCTTATGGTGTTTCTGCAAGGGGCAGTTACTGTCAAGTTGCAGGGTCAGAGGAAATATTATGCATATGGAATTTGAATTGGAAAAGAATAATAGATCATGTTTGGATTTAAGGAATGCTTGAAAGACTTTTAATACTTAAAATATTTGTGTGCATTTTTGACATGGAAATTAAATAATTGTATAAATGCATTTCTTACTGCTTCTGCTACATAACTGTAATAGTACAACTAATGTGTGTGCTTTATAGTACAAGAAGGACTCTTGTGTCTGAATATAGGTCATCCTATTGCTTTACAATGATTAGAATGCTGTTATGATCTGAAAACTGACTATGTAAAAGTAGCACCTGATAACTGAACTCTCCAGACAAGCACACACGTTCCTCACAACCACACATATCACTAAGAACAGTCAATTAAAAGATAATTACAGTGTAGTTTCAGAATATTTTTTGTTGATAACCCAAACATAATTATACTTCAGCTTTAAGTTATAAAGCTGGAAAACATAATTTGGTGTTTATCAAGTGGATGTGGTATAATTGAAAATTGCTGTAAGATATTAGCTGAGACTGGTGTGGCTTTCACAGTCTTAAGTGCACTGCATGTTAAATACTTTGGCTTCTACTTTGAATGCAAAAATATGACCTTAAAAACAAAATTCTGTAAAGCAGTATATGAAATATAGTGCAGTTTTTCTAGGACATACTTTTGTTGCTTGCATTTATTGTTTGTAATTTTCATAACCAATCTGTAAGTATCCACTTCTAACTCATACTTAATCTCTGAGCTGATCAAAAATTCAAGTGATGGTTGGTGTGGTGTAAGTACACAGTAACTAGAGTGAACAGAAGATATAGAAATGGAGACTTTAAAAATATTTCAACAAATCGTGTGGCTTCTTGAGCTGCTAGACACAAAGTGTGCTTAAGCCATTGTTGAGAGCTATATTCCAATTTGTCCTTCAAAACAGTGACAGTTTTAAGGAATGCCATACAAGTAAAAACATTCATTTAAAGTTTTTTGAAGCACTGAGGTACTCTCCTCCTGAAATAAAACATAAGTAGGGAAGGCCAATGTTGGCTTATTCTTTAAGTCTTATTGGCCTATTAATGTTGGAATATAGTATTAGGGAGGGGCGACAAAGAATACACATGTTGAGCTGTTAATACAAATATGTGTCCTTATGACAAATTAGGAGCTTGCTAAAGAACCTGTATTTCATGCAAGTGTAAGTGGAGCACTCCAAATTTACCTTTTTGAAAAGGTTTTAATTTTTTAAGTGCACCTTGTGAAGATCTTTCTAAACCACAAACAATTTTTTTTTTCTTCTTATAGTTCTGGCCTATCCCTCTCACATCTTCCTGACAATTGTCTTAAGTGTTAAAGTTAAAAGTAGGCTTTTTTTGTGTTTGCATTATTATTAAATTTTATTTTTTTAATATATCTGTACAAAATATTATCTAGAGTATAAAATATCCACGCAGTAGTGAAGAGATGGCAGTAAGAAATTCAAATTTTATTTTAATAAAATGGTGTTTTAAAGAATACTATTAGTGCAACTTCATGCTCCTATTGTAGGTCTACAAATACTGTAGTCACACATTATTTATTCAAGTTATCCACATACATTTTTTATTTTTAGGAGGCTGAATGTTTGGGTCATACCAGAAAAGAGGGGAATAGTGGGATACCTTGTGTTCAGGAGGACTGAAGTTTGCATTAGCTGTTCAGAGGATTCCTTTATAATTATTTGAATTTTGATGTCATTAACTGTATGCCATGAAATTGCATTGAACTAAATTATTTTGCAATCTTTAAACAAAAGAAAAAATCAGATTTCTGCCTAAGTGTTGGCTGCCATGACTGCTGCCTTAGATCTTCACTGCCTCACTTAGATCCGATATCCCTGCAGTACGCAGGGATTCATGCAGTCTAACAGGAGTGCCTTTATATTTATCTATTTTTACTCAGTCACTTTCAGAACAAATCAGTATTTTAGCAGTGTCTGTTGCTTACTGCCAGGCACTGTAGAATGTGCATGCACGTACTGTGTAGCTCTTCCATGTTCCTTCAGGCTTTATTTCCACTGTATGCATATAGTAACCACCACTTTTCATCATGCATGTCTTTGTCAATCAGCTAACCTTTTCCCCTTCCCAATTAAGGCTATGTACATGCCAATTTTCAAAATTTTGACCTTTTTAAAAATTTCTGCATGAGGAGAAACCATCACTAACTTTTGAAAGGAAAACCTTTTTTCCTACCCTCTCCCCTTTGTTTAAAACTAAAAATACAGTTGTACAGATGAAGTTTTCCTAGAACAAACTTTTTAGGCAGAAATGAAACACAGAACATTATAGTCTAAGTTGTTCAGATAAAAGGATGTAAAGCAAGTTATCAATATATGAAAATATTTTGCAGCTTTAAAAATGGCAAAGGCTGCTCAATGTTCTTAGCAATTGAAACTGTACAATGAAATTGTTTTGTGCAGACTTGATTGTTAACATGCATGAATTTTGGAAGGTTAAGATGCTAAGTAGTTTTGTCAAAAATTAGATTTTGTCCAGGTAATGTAATTGATGAAAGTTTTACTCTATACAGTTTGAAATGCTCACTGGTACTCTACCTTTCCAAGGGAAAGACAGAAAAGAAACCATGACTATGATTCTCAAGTGAGTACACTCTTATTTATATATCTCATCAGGTATTCTACAGGGATGCCCTCCGGGCTGCAATATCTAATTTCTACTCCTCCCTCATTTTCAAAGGTACTGGTAAATCCTCACTCCCTATTCCATATTATTAATTCCCTTTGCTGCCTATCTAATTTGCTTCACTATTCCTCTACCATACTAGGTACAAAGGATTTCATAGCAGCTCTTTAATCTGTAATAATAACTTCTCCAACCACATGATCTCTCCCATCTTATTTCCATAGTATTTTTTAACTTTCTTATCCTTTTTGATAACCTGTGCATTTTTTCCTTTTTGGGTTGTTTTTTTTTTCTTTGTTTTAGGTTTTTGGAGTTTTTTTGAGAAAGTGTTTTCACTCCTTATCCTTCTTTATTTTACCAGCTCCTCATCCTACCTCTTTATATTAATGGTGCTGCCAACAACTTGCCTTCCCAATACTCTTCCCTTCTGTACTCTCCTATGACTCGCCTAAGCTCCAATTTTCCCCTTTGCTATTTTCAGCATAGATTTTGCATTAGGTCTATTGTGGGAATTGCTTTCCTTCATGCAGTTAATGTTCTTGTTTTTGCTAATGAAGGTCTGCTTTTTTCCTTGCCAATTCCCCATATATTCTCTAAACTAATACAACCTATGGCATAACAGCCCCATTTTTGGGACTGTAGCCAAACACTGTACAAACAAGTCTGTTTCCTCATATCACAGATTCACTTCTCTGTTTCCGTCTATTTTTAACTAATACCATTTTTTCCATGGAAGCTCATAAGATTATCTTAGTTTTCTCATTTATTTTCTGCTTCATTGTTTATCATTGTTCTCAGTCCTGTTAACCACTTGTCTACCAATATATCAAAGCTGGAATTCCTTTTGCACTAACAGCCTGTTTTGAAAAATAAATATATGGAACTTTTTCATCTTTTCTCTATGTAATTAGAATGTGAAAACCACTAGAAGACACACTCTTTTTTTTTTCCTGGTTTTTGCTTTCATAATGCATACATGTTATGTTATTCTTTGCCCTTGTTTTTCTTCTTCATCTTATTTGCAAATATACTTAGTGATTCTAGTTTCTTCTGCTGCTTCAGCACCATGCCAGATCAAATCTTCATGTTGTGATTATTCAATGTCTTAACTAAAAAGTTCTATCTATTCACAGCAAGCATAAACTCCTTCTGACCACCTCCTATTTACAAGAAGCTAGTCTGAGATAGTTCTGCTGCACTCTCGTTTCAGGAGCCATGCATTTTTTTCTATCTGTGTCTCATGAGTCACATCTTTCTCTCCTCTTTGCCTGCGTGTGACTCTGCTCTGTTCCTCAACAGTCTTTTCACTGCTGCTATAAATATCTTCTGTATTCAGCTGCCATGTAGAATATCCTTGCATTTCTCCAGGTAATCGATGTTCATAGTCATTCATAGCCCAGAGAGCAGTGCTGAATGGAGTGAAATCCAGCTGATTTGGTCAGTCACAAGTGGTGTTCCCGAGGGGCCAGTCCTGTTTAACATCTTTATCAACAAATTGGGCAATGGGCTTGAGTCAGTTTGCAGGTGCCCCCAACCTGGATTAGAGGGAGTATGGATCTGCTGGGGGTTAGGAGGGATCTGGACAGGCTGAAACGATGGGATGAGGCTAATAGGATGAGGTCCTGTGGGGCTAAGTGCCAGGTCCTACACTTGGGTCACAACAGCCTAAGGGAACATACCTTAGGCTTAGGAAAGAGTGGCTGAAAGTTGCCTGGCAAAAAAGCACCAGGGAATGTTGGTCAACAAGTGCTGAACATGAGCCAGGTGTGCCCAGGTGGCCAAGAAGCCAATGGCAGCCTGGTCTGTTAGCACCATGGCAGTGATTATCCCCCTGTACTCAGCACTGGTGATGCCACACGTCAGATCCTGTGCCCAGTTTTGGGCTTCTCACTGTGAGGACACTGAGGTGCTAGAGGAAGTCGAGAGAAGAGCAATGGAGCCAGTAAAGGGTCTGGAGCACAGATCCTGCGAGGAGCCACTGAGGGATCTGGGTTTGTTTATTCCGAGGAATGCTCAAGGGAGACCTTATCACTCTACAACCAGCTGAAAGGAGACTGCAGCCAGGTGGAGGGTTGGTCTCTTCTCCATAGTTAGAAGCAACAGGATGAGAGGAAATGACCTCAAGTTGTGCTATGGGAGGTTTAGATGGATATTGGGGAAAAAATTCTTCATTGAAAGCATTGGAACAGGCTGCCCAGGGTCACCATCCCTGGAGGTTTTTTTAAAAAGATGTGGCACATAGGAATATGGTTTAGTGGTGGACTGGGTGGTGCTGGCTTAATGGTTAGACTTAATAATCTTAAAGGCCTTCTCCAACTTAAGCCATTACAGGTTTCTATGATTCTGTAATTACTTCCAGAATTCATTTGAGAATGTATCTCTTAATGCCCTTTCCAATTTCTTTCTTTTTTCACCTTCTAGTCTTTGCAGTTGTTAATGGTTTCAAATAGCTGCACAGAAAGTGTTCTATGATATATAGACATTTTACCCTCTTTCAATGTTTCCTATGCTTATGAGTATTATCTTGCATAGAAGTGTTTTTCTTTTGTTTATATAAGCAGCTGAAAACCAGAAGATATTTTAAAGTGTTTTCTGATAAGTTCACACTTTTTTTCTGGTCTATGTTTTCTTTTTATTTTGCACATACTTAGTGTATTTTTTCCTTAAATTTTTCATAAAACTTTAAAATGTACAGGTGTGAATGTGAATTCTGGTTTTCATAGTGTATATTTACGGTATATTGCTTTTCTTACCTTCTGTTCCTAAAAATCCACAGAAAATACATTCTTCTTACAATTAATTTTTTGGGGGGTTCTTTATTTCTCACATCATTATCAAGACAAATTTTTTTTTATTCTTGTGCTTTTACCTAAAACTGGGAAACCAGCAGCTTAAAGAAATCATAAGTTGCAGCAGCAAAGTTAAATTTTTAAACATCTTTCTCCTTTGCTTAAGAGGTATGCCTTCATATAGAATTTTGTCATTGTCCATCAGGAATGTCAGAAAAAAATTGCTGTCACTCATGTAATTGCATAATATAGGAACTCTGAGGACCTGGCAATTGGCTTTCCTTCTCTGTCATGTGCCTGATACAGGATTTTGTGAAAGGTGGTGGTGCATACCAGTCAGGAAGAATTGGATGCCCATTTCTCCTCCCCATTGGTGGCTTTGATCTGTCTGTAGTATGTTACTGAACAGCCCAAAGAAGCCAAAGTTTTTCAGATTTTCCTCTTCCCTGCCCTAGCTTTTGAATGTTGATAGGATTGGAAAAATTAGTAAATTCTAGTTTTAAAGTAATGAATAGTGAATCAGTGGCAGCATGTATGCGCTTACTCGTAAGTTGACACAGGGCTGAATATCGACAAATACCTGGAATGCACGACAAACCAGGTTCTGATTGAAACACAGAGCTTGTGTCATGGACTGTTACAGAAAAACACAAGCTACAGGTTGAATTAGTAATGAATAGGAGGGAATGATATCCCTCCTTACTATTATAATTAAAAGAAAAAGTAAGCCCTGGTAACAATGAGAGAATGGAGGCTCAATGTTAAATGGAGAGGAAAAAATATGACAAGGATTACAAAAGAAAATTAAATAAAAGAATTACAAAAACATAAATCTGACTGACAAATTGTGAAAGTATTATTTGAAATAGACTGGGGAGGGGGGCAAAAAGAAAAAGAGAATTGGGGTTTTTTTTGGGTTTTTTTTTTTTTTTTTAACCAGCTAATCCCAAAATATCTGTCCTGCCTTAATTCAGTTTCAGTATTCTAGTTTGTTTCCTGGGTCATCTTGGTATGTGTCATAGTGTGATACTTTTCTTAGCCCTTCTATTATATAACTATCAGAATGTTTTGTTTGGTATCATTTGCTAGTAACTGAGCCTATAAGTGGATCAAAGCATATTCTGAAAATTTACAAGCTTATGAACTGTTATCCTCTAGCTATTCTTTACATGTTTTTCTACCTTATCCTGTACTTAAGTTTCTGAGTCATTACTGAAAATAATATACTACTCAAAAAAAAAATTTACTAAAAACCCCAAGATGTTGACATGACTGACAGCACTTTTGCTCTGTGTCTGATGTCTGAAGGCAGTTTCTCAGTGATGCTACTTCATTTATTATGGACTTGTTGAATGGCAAAGGACAGGGGGAATGCGGAATTAATTCTTATTTAGATATGTTTGTATACTATTAATTATTTTTATTCTCTAGGGCCAAACTTGGAATGCCCCAGTTCTTGAGTCTTGAAGCACAGAGTCTCCTGCGAATGCTCTTCAAAAGAAATCCAGCAAACAGATTAGGTAAAGTTTTTAGCAGAATATTTTAAATTTGATCATAATATTCATAACATCAGTGATTAATAAACTTACTAGAATTCTGTTTCCTGTATAAAACAGGCTTTAAAGTAAGAATGTAATTTGCCCTTCAAGTGATCACCAAAGTATTATCATTTCTGCTAGTCATACATCTAAAATTAAAGCAGAAAGAATAAGAAATATGATTTTGCTAACTATTCCTTTGACCAAGAAGAAAATAATTAATAGATATTTTTCTTCCTTATAAAAGGAGCAGGTCCAGATGGAGTAGAAGAAATTAAGAGGCATGCATTCTTTTCCAAAATAGATTGGAATGTGAGTATCTAATTAAAATTCAATCAATAAATTTCTTGGTTAAGTCTTTTATGGTATCATATAACTTTTCCATTTACAATGTGTCCCATCTCTTCAGAAATTGTACCGGAGAGAAATTCATCCTCCTTTTAAACCTGCAACTGGCAGACCTGAAGATACATTTTATTTTGACCCTGAGTTTACAGCAAAAACTCCAAAAGGTAAAGAGATATGAATGAATTTACATATTTAAAATACAGAATTTGAATTTCAAATGTTTTCATTTAGAAATAGATGTCTTTATGAATCCAAGGTGCTACCAAAAATTCAGTATTTAATCTCATATCTACATGTTAAAAACTGCTTGTAAGTAGATGATGTGTTTTTCAGATTCGCCTGGTATTCCACCCAGCGCTAATGCACATCAACTTTTTCGGGGATTTAGTTTTGTAGCTATTGCATCAGATGATGAAAGCCAAGCAATGCAGACAGTTGGAGTGCATTCAATTGTCCAGGTGAGTACATCTAATAACAAAAATCAGTGTTGTCTCTTGTGGATGGATTGTTTCCTTGTCACAGAATTAAGTATCATGACAAAATCATTATCATCTTTTATACAAGAAAAGTAAAGATCAGATTATTTTTATCCAAACAAAATCTCTGAAGGTACAGGACCTGTTTAATTACTGAGCAGCTACAGGTCCAAATAGGCTTCAACCTAAAAAGAAAACATTCTACCATCTGTGCTGTATTAACTCTTTAATGTCAAGCCATAACTATAAGGTGGAGTGGATAACAGATATATTGATTTATTGGTTTTTTTCCCCCATACATGAAAATGTCAGTTGACTCCTGCAATGCAGTAGTAGGAGGCACTAGAGTATGATTGTGAATGGTATCTGGATGTTCTGGACTGCTCTGCATCTTGGCAGCCATGACCTAGGACATATTCTGTCCCTCCCAAGCCCACTTGAAGTTAATTTGCTACTCTGTGCTATTTTGAGACTGATTTCAGTGTACCATGCAAGTCAGTGTTACAGTGCACACTCAAGCTTTCTTGATGTATTTGAATGACTCCAGTAGAGTGTCCTGCATTAATAATTGTGAGGCTGGCACCTGGAAGAGGAGACCTCTGCAGAAATTGTATTTCTGTCTCTCTGCTTTTAATAATTCTAATTACTGAGTCATGAAAGCCAACTCATGATCTAAATTGTGTTGAAAACTTCTTAATGTATAGGTAGGAATAAAATGGTGTGGTGTATGATTTGGTTTATTTGTATTTTTCACTGCACTGGTGATTTGCAAATGTCTGAGAAAATTTTTAAAAGCAGTTTATACAGAACATGAATAGTCCTTGTATTTTTTTAACACTTACGTCTAGAATTGTTGTAACGTGGCTTTCTACACATTACTGTTTCATGTGTAATAACATTTTTTTAAAATAGAACTTTAGATACTTTTTTATTCTCAATGAGCTTTCTGATTTGATATATGCATCAGAATTATTTCTGATCCTGGTTTCTTGCTAGAAGTTTCTGCAAAGCTTCTCTGTGCTGCTTCATTCCCACATAGTTTTGTAGATGGTATTACTGCTCTTTGTATATGATTTCCTTCTCTTGTAAAGGTCTCTTTCTCTGCTGCCTTTCCTCTGTGCCCCTCAACAACTTCCTCACTCCTATTTCCTCTTTTCTGTGCTGCAGGATACCCAGATGGTTTCCTGCAAATGCTTTGCATCCTTTGCACAAACTCCATACACTAGAACACCATTTCCTTCCCTTACAAGAGTGAGCACTTGTCCTCCTTTCAGCTTTTTATTTCTGTGAAAGGATTTTTGACTGCCATTCCATGCAATTCCAGCCAATCTAATTCCATTCAGTATGTCTGAATTTTCCAGCTGGCATTCTGTCTCTTCAGATAATAAAAACATTGATACTTCTTTACCATTGTTGTATCAGTATTTTATCTTGAAGTCTTCTGATTTTCTTTGATTTGGAGTTTGTATTTTTAAATTAGTAAAGCAGCAATCAGAAAAATAATGTTGTCCATTTCTAGAATACAGTGTGCATTATTTACAATATGTCTAATATATAATTTCTCTTATACTAATTTGAACAGAAGGTAGTGAGGATTTAGACCACTTTGACTAGTAGAGTCATCAGTTTAAAATTTTAAGCAAATCAATAGGGTTTTTTTTATAAGTTATTTTAACAAAAAAATCAGTTATATATTAAGAATATTCATCAATTGATGATGTTATTTTGGTAGCAGTTGCACAGGAACAGCATTCAGTTTACTGATGGATATGAAGTAAAGGAAGATATTGGAGTTGGCTCTTATTCTGTTTGCAAGAGATGTGTTCATAAAGCTTCAAACATGGAATATGCTGTAAAGGTAATTACTTTGTTATAAACAGCACTTCTCAGATTTTAGCATTGGCCATCTTTTATTTGCCATAGAGAAACATAGAGATTAACTTTTTTTAATATAAAAATATTTTCTATGCAACTGTAAAAGTAAATTCATAAATTCTCAAATGGGTAAGGAGTTCTTAACAGCCTTCAGTCTGGTATAACTTCCAGAATAAACTTCAACTCTGTTTTGGCTTCCTGGCTTTCAGCAAGGTTTTTAATGTTGTTCTTATGTTATTCTATAGAGCTTTCTAGCACTTCTTTGACATTAAATTCTCAGTTGAAATCAATAGATTTCCCAGAACTGCAATGATAGGATTTTTTTGTCTTTCTGTGTAATAACCTGGGACAAAATGGTTACTATGAAAGCAAGAGTATGGATTAGCAGGCTTTATAAGTGGGAAAAAAAACCCAGTCTTTAAATCCTATACTATGAGGCAGTTCTCTTTTTGAATTATTGAACAGCTTGCTACTTAATTATGTAAAATACAAAGATGAATTAAGTATGTAGATTGCTTCCTGGAAACCTTCCAGTTTCAATTTGGTAGTTAAATACTTATTTTTATTCTTGTTCTGGCCAGGAACTGATTTGACTTTTCTGTTTTCAATTTGAAGTAATTTCTTGAAACTGCAAGAAAGTCCTGTCATAGCTGATAATTCCCTCAGCTATAACATTTGTTGTGAAAATTCACTCACTTTTCTATTGCCTCTCTTAGGGCATTTTTTTCCCTCAAGGAATCTTGAAGAAAAGAATAAGATGATCAGTGTCTGCTGTGTTAGCAGGGGGTGGGTAGCAGTATGGGCATAAGGATGAAGGGGTAACACAACAGTGGAAAACACATTATAGGAAATTCTGCAGTTCAGGAGAGGAAAAATGTGAGAAGAACAAGAATACATTTAAGTAGGGCAAAACAATGTTTTGCTTGATTAAACAAGGTGAACCGTAGAGCCGAATGTACTTTAATAAGGAAAGTGTGTTTGAATTTACTCTCAGAAATCTTTACTTTTTTAAAATTTTTTGTTCTCTTTTTCTCCTGCCTTCTTTTGCTGCATCAAATATTTGTTTGAGATTAGCATTGTGAAAATTAGCTCATTAGCATCATCCAACAAGTATCTAGTGTTAAGTTAGGAATTTCCTGTTTTATTAAATAATGGATCACTGAATGATCTACTGAACAGCCTTGCATTATTTATCACAGCCAAAGAGATCAGATCACTTATCCTCCAAAACTGTTTTCAAAAGAGACTTTTTCATTTTTCCAAATATTTTTTGCTTTGCCTTGCTTTTCCAGTTCAACAGACTTGGGTTTGGTTATAATCCATGCCTTTTGCAACTATAAATTCTGCTTAACTGTTGATACTAATAAGCATACCAAAGCATTACTCTAGATTCACAGAAAGAATTACGCCTATGTCTGTACATGCTGTTACAGATTATTGACAAGAGTAAAAGAGATCCAACAGAAGAGATTGAAATCCTGCTGCGCTATGGACAGCATCCAAATATTATTACCCTGAAAGATGTAAGTAGTGTTTTAAAGACATCCTTTACTGTATTATAATTGTGAATCACTTTCTAATTTGAGAGACAACAAGCTATATGTTTTAGATTTATGTTCATGTTTTTCAGTATTTAAAAATAAAACAATGTTCCTATGCAATTTATTCAGTATCTAGTTTTTTACTGGGATGTCTATGTTTGCTTTTAAAGATGCTTAAATTGTGGCACAGTGTTGTTCTAAGGAGTTAAATCATTCATCCTTCATAAATCCTAGCACAAGAATAATTTATTTAATGTTGGCTGTATTTTTCAAGAAACAAGGAAGTTTTTTGATTGCTAAGTTAACTTTGAATCTGATTTTGCCTGCATTAATCAAAAGCAATTTTACTGTACACTATTATATTACACAGGACTCACTGTTAGCACACTACCCAAGTAATTTTCAAGGACAGTAGCAAGTATTACTCAGTAATAGACAAAAATCTTTCCATGTGCATGGTTTTCACTCTTTTTTACCCAGTGTCTTTGTCTGGCCTCTGTATGAAAACTGTCTAGGTATTTTTTCCTTGTGTTATTTGTTCTGACCATGGAGACACTTTGTGCTTAAAAAGCAAGGCATAACATAAGCTGGGAGGATAGAGGGTTTGCTTAGTGAGCAGTAGCAGTATATTCTGATGATCTAACTCAAAAAGAAAATTGCCTTTGTTTCCTTGGTTATTCATTAAAGAGGATTAAAAATTTAAAAGGCATATGCTTAATGACTTTCTTAGACTGCAGGGAAATATTCTGGTGCCCCAAACCAAACCTCAGGCAAAACAGCAAACCATTTCCAGGAAGCTGAGCTCAGCTGAAAGGAGATGGTCAGACATTTTGAAGTCATTAAAACAACAGCTCATAAATACTGTGGAGATGAGCACCAGACAACTCTGCATGAAGTTGATCTACTATAACCTATCTTCACTTTATTGATATCATACTGTTTGGCCTTTTCTTGAACAGAGAAAGTAAGGTAGATATTCAGGGGAACCCACCAGGGAGCTTATCTTATTGTAAGCAAGATACCACAATTACAGTCCCACTTTCTGTTCTGCTTCATGTGATTGGACAATAAAGCTACTTGAAAGGAGCTGTGCTGAATAGAACCTGCATCAGCATTTGGGGTGCTTTTAGTGCTGCATGCTGGGCTCATGAGTTACTTTAATTCACAACAGAGTTTATGTCATTTAAGCAGGAAGACAAACATGAGAATATGAGCACTTACCTGAACTTGAGCATGATGAATATTTTATATTGAGAACAGAAATCCAGGCAGCATTAAACAGCTGTAATATATGTTGAATTATTTTACTTTGTAATTAATCTTTTATCATCATCAGTCATCTTCCAGCAGGAACCATCTTTCATACACAGCAACAGCAATACACAAATAGAAGACTACCAAAAAAAAAGCCTTAAACCCACAAAGGAAGAAAGGCTGTAATTCTCACTTCTGCTTCAGATCAGTTCCCCAAGCAGAAATTAAGGAAGGATATCCAGTGTAAGAAGACACATAGAATTCATATATAGTAGCATCATGTAGAAATCTGTAAGAATTCAACATTAAGTTTTTCTTCTAATACAGACCCACGGGGCAGATTGCTTGCATATTCCACATTATAGTGGTGTGCTATTACAGCTTTCTGAGAAGATAAGGAGTATTTTGCCTTCAGGTCTCAAGCTCTAGAGCACCATATACCATTATAAAAATAAAACTCATTGCTGATGTGCTCAATTTTTCATTTAGTTCCACATCAAAACTTAAATGTTTCTAATATGAAGCGCCAAAATATTTCAGCATTTAAGTGTCTGCTTTGGAAATTATTATTCTGCAAGAAATAATCTTTCTTCTGTTTCAAGAAGAAATGCAGTAATATTTGAATTTTGCTTAAGATGGAAGTTTTCATTCTTCTTCAGCTTTTTTATGTAATTTAATTCTGAAGGTGTTTGGATTGAAACAATGGATATTCAAGAGACCAAATTCTTTCTGCAGTGCACAGTCCTCTGGGGGTTTTCCTTCTGATTGTTATCAGTGGTCTTTTTCAGTTACACAGTATATAAACAAAAGGAGCTATATTGTGCTAAATCAGATGTCCTTCTTATCCAATATCCTGCCTCTGACAAGAGGCCCTTAGTGGATGCCTAGGAAACAGTGTAAGAAGGGAGGAAGCACACAGCTTCCAACAAAACATTACCTAGAAACTTCCTGTGCCAGACCATTATAAGTATTTTACCCTTTTTATGTAATAGTTACTGTTCTGTAACAGAACTTTTGTCCTGTTTTGCAAGCAGGACAAAAGTTATTTAAAGCATGGCCTGAAGAATCTTTTCAGAAACATTTTAGAAACCTGAATACAAGCTATCCAGTCTCCCTGTCCAAGTGCTTATTTATAATTTCAAAATACCTCATAATATGTCTGTAAAATCTTACTTCCCTTGGCAAAACCCTTGATTTCTTTCTCCATTGCATTATATTTTGTTCGTATGCCTGCATCTGTTTCTTACTATAGTTTCTTCCACTTCACCTAATAAAGAAGACTTACTCACTGACCTGTGCCTTGTGCTCAGAGATAATTTTAAAAAGTAGTATCACATTTGTGATTTTAGCATGATACTGTGCACCTGTGAAGAAAACTTTGTCAGTATTTATTCAAAAACAACTTAAATTGCTAATACCATTACAGGAATTGGTGCAAAGGGGATTGGTTTGTTTAGGGTGAATTATCTGTGGGGTTTTTTGGCTGACAGTTAGGACCAGCAGATAAAATAGTAACCAAATGGAAATTTTGCTTGAATTCTGCAATCCTGAAATGTGTATGCTCTGTCACATCAAATAAAATAAGCTGATCTTCTTATGTTATACCAGGATTAGAGAAAGCATGCCTATCAAAAAAAATATCTAGTTTAGTATCTAGAACTAGATAATTCTGCTTTTGAATACTGTGAAATATTTAAAGTCTTAATGCAAACACATTCAGATTCTCAGTTATTTATATTTCATGGAGAAAAAATTCCTGTTAAATGAAAACACAGAAACCCATCATGTCTTCATCTCCTTAAGATCATAAGCTTATAAGGCCCACAGAATTATTTAACATTCTTTTTTTTTTTTTCTTTATTTGGTGAGAAAATAAATCTTTTTAATATTTTAGGAGAACAAAAATTTTGATGCTTAGAACTTTATTAGCATGTTTTTCCCAAGTAGCTTAACACCAGGGAATTGGAAAGAAAATCTTTTTTTATTCTTGTTTTCTGTTACTTAGCTGGTATCTATTCCTACATTTATTTTACAGTAATTTTGATAATTGTTTCTACTTAAAGACAAGTTGTTTTTATTTCACACATTTTACTGAAAAAAACTGTTGCAACATCACCATGAAAATAGGTTGAAAAGATTAAAGGGAACAGTCTGTAAAAGGTTTCCCTAAAGCAGGAATTGTTTCTGGATTAAGTTGGAACTCCCAGGCCAGGTTGGATAGGGCTTTGAGCAGCCTAATCTAGTGAAACATGCCCCTGCCTATGGAGGGAGGAAGGTTGGGACTAGATGATCTTAAAGGGCTCTTTCTGCCTGAACCATTCTATGATCTTGTGAAAGTCCAACTGAAATGAAATGCTGAAGTGTGAGTACCTTAAAATGTGTTTTGGTATCACTCAGTCTGTAGTGCCCTCTGGTGAGAATGTAAAGAATTCTCTAATACTTACCAGGATGATAAAATCCATGCAAAAATTAAGCCGTTTTCCATTTCTAGAAGTAAGGGATAAAATGTGCATATTTTATTACTTTTAGACTTTGGTATAGGCTTTATATGCAGAGTAATGTGTAAGTTTTATGTTTTTATCATAGCAACTTTGTATTCACTGTTCACAGAGGCTGAGGTAAACTTGGATTAATTTTTTTCCTTTTTATTTGTCTGACTGTTGGAATGATCTCTGTTTATATTTTTATTTGGTGCAATAATTGCTGCTTAAATTAGCTCTGGTTTTGCCTAAATTAGACTAGTTTCCATTTTTTACTACTTAATTTCTCACATCTAGTTTACTTTGTTTTAGTGAAACTGTGTGTGGGAAACTACCTGTTATTTATCCTTTTTTATCTTTAAACACTTCAATGCCAGTATTTCTATGTTATTTTGGTACAGTGTTGCCTTTTTGTAAAGGTTTTGTGTTCACTTCTGAAGATAAAGAACATTTGGATAGCGTGTGGGTTGTGAAATATCGGGAAAACAATTGAAGAAAACAGCTTGTGGATGCACCTGTACTTGTCTCTGTGTGTTTCACAGGAAGACAGCAGAGAATAAATATTTTTAAATTTTTATGTACTTTTTGCAGGTGTATGATGATGGAAAATATGTGTATGTAGTAACAGAACTTATGAAAGGAGGAGAACTGCTGGATAAAATTCTCAGGCAAAAATTTTTCTCAGAACGAGAAGCTAGTGCTGTTCTGTTCACAATAACAAAAACGGTTGAATATCTCCACACACAAGGGGTAAGTTTTCATCTCAGACAAAATGTTCATAGCTATTGATATTCTTCTCTTTCAGAAACATTTACTTGTATCTTGATACGTTCTTCTGTGTGGTAATTAAGTAGTTTTTGGTAAACAATTGCATTGCAGCAGGAATTTGTGTTGAAATCAAAACTTTCCTTATCAGCTCTGTATATGTTCAGATAACTGAGATGATGCAACTGTTTCTGTTGTTCTTTATGCAGTCTGTCAGCAGTTCTGTGGAATTTGCAGATCATTGCTAACAGAGAGGTTATGAGGGGAAGAAAGTCCAGGAAGAAGTGCTAGGACCAGTGTTGTTGCATAACCATGGAACCTAATCTAATTTCAGTCTCATCCTGTGATATACCCTAAAAATTTATTTTCCACATGTCATACTTGTAATTCCTTTGACTTCTTGATTTTGAAGAACATAGTTTATGACTTGTAACTCCTGTGCCATAGGGTCAGGAAGTTGCAGGACACAGAAAACTAACACATAGGGAAATTAATTTGGAGACAGAGGAAGTAGTTCAAATATAGAGAAGGACAGTGTGATAATTACATGGCAAGAAAGACAAGTTGTGTTGCATTTTTAAGTAAACAAGAAAAAGAGGATGGAGGAAAAGCAGAAAAGAAGGGTGCAAGGAAAAAGTCAAGTTGCTAATGGAGTATGTTGATACCCACAAAAAGATCCTTTGACACGTATAGTGCTCAAATTATTTTAAGTAACAAATAGCAATTCAATACACACTGTCATGTCTGGAAGCTGTTATTTCAGATTGGAGTTACCGAGTATCTCATTCTGTGATTCATCACTTCAGTCACTTGCTCATGTGTGTGTTTTTATTTGAGCCTGTGTGCACAGATTATAGTCCTTGGCCAGCAGTACCCATGGGAATTATGATAAAACCTTGATACCTTCTGTATGGAAATACAGATAATAGAATAACAAATCATATCTATGCTTCATTCTTGCCACATATGGCTAAAAGAGGCCCAGTGTCCTTGCATCAAGTAAGGGATTTTAGGGTTTTTTACTGTAGATATCTGTAAATATTGGCATTTTAACTTGTATTAGACCACATGCACTTTGGAATGTTTGCTTTTGGAAATTTTCAAGTCTTGTATTAAGTGTACCTCCATAGGAAAGGTGGCCATATATGTAAATAGTGAGCACTTCAGTAGTCTAATTCCGTTCTAGAAGAGCCCCTCATGTCTTCAGTGGATTTTCCTGTTGAAACTCCTTTGGACACTGGAGGAGCTTATTTGAATATGGTATTAGGTAATATATGGTTTGACAGTCTCTGCATCTGTGTGCAGTCTCCACAACCCTTCCCAGGAAGAGTTTCCTCATGGACATTCATAAGATACTTTTGAACTAAGAAACTACCTAAGCAAGGAATGAAATCCTCAGGGTAAGCAGTACTTCCAACACTCACCCAGAGCATTCTAAAAGTATTAGGGCCAACATACAGTGATTAAGGATTGGCACAAGAGACATCATAAAACAGATAAACAAGAAGTGTCACGTCATCTTGGAGCAGCAGATTTGTGAATGCTGGTAGGTAATTGAGACTGCTGGTCAAAAGCACAACACTAAGAAGTAAAGAACTGAAAGTTCCTGCATGTTATTTTGCTCTCTTCTGTTGCTCTAAAATAAAACATTCTTTTTATACAAAATTCCAACATAATCTAAACAATCTGGCAATTTTTTTTAAAGCATTATATTTTTGAATATTTTCAAAATTTACCTTTGGGAAAACAGCTTACCATAGGAAGGTGTTTCAATTGTTCTTTGATACAAACATATTGATTGCTTGGGAAGCAAAGTTTTAGTATGAATTAGACGGTTACACTTGCTCTTCCTCCTACTTGAGCATTGCTTCTCTTTCTTCCAAAAAAAGCATACAAGTCAAGCAGACTGTTCTAGAAACTGCCAAATCCCCAGCTCTGTGCTGCTTCCATTGCTCACTTCTTCCTTTCTACCCCTTTTAGAATCTCTTTCAAAAAGAAACCCCAAAACATCAACAAGAATAAAACTAGGTGTTTTTTTTTAATTTGCCTCTGGGTGCAGTAAATGTTGTTTCACTCATTATTAAGGAAAAAGGTAAAAAACAAGGGCAATTAGGAACTGGTTCTCTTGTACGCTGACATCTAAAGCCAGGATGTTCCCCTTAACACCTACTGTTCCAAGTCAAATTATTTAATATCATTTGTATATTTAAGCTTACAAGGTGCTTATTTCCACAATTTTAAGTACTTGGTTTTGACAATTGCACAGGATTTGCATGCTGGAGAAATCTCTACTAAATAGACTATGTGTTAAATGGCTTTGCAATTTGTGTGACTCCCTGCACTCCTTGGTCTCGTATTGCTTTCCTGAAACCCTGCTAGGTCTGGATGTGAGTGTTGAGCTTCTGATTTCTGGACTTACTTGCAGAAGTCTGGGGGTGTCTTTTTGTTCTAGTGTGATTACTTCTATGAAATAGTTCACAATCTCTTAAGTTTAAATTTAACCCTAAAAGCTGTGTTTAATATTAATAAAACACACAGAACAACAAGGAAGATAAACTCCTCTTGTTCCACTTCAATATTTAAAGGAGGACACTTAGATCCACTCTGCTGTCTTAAAATGGTGTATACCCTCTTCTTTACAGAGAGCAAAGTGTCTGGAGGCTGTAGGCTAACTTGTTTTGTGAAGAAAATGTAGCAGGTCATTAGATTTTAATGACTGTCCTTGTGCATTCCAGATTTTGTTAAGGCTTGTTATAAAATAGCTTAAAATTCTGCCAGAACTTTGGTAGCTTCTCCAGTATTGTCAAGCATTTTTCATCTCAAGCCCCTGCAAAAGCAGCCACTTGGAACCAGTACAGGCTTTTTTTGATATTTGGGGAACACCTCTTTGATACTTCGTTGGGTTTTTTTTTATTATTGAAATTTCTTGTTAATCAGGCTTTAAGTGTTTTTCTGAGATAAATTCAGACTTTCAGAATGAAGAGAATGGAATACAGAGTTACTCCAGCAGTCTGTGGCTATATAGTAGCAAGGTGGTGCATCAGCAGCTATGGGTGCCCGGATTCCAAAAGATACTAGTAGCCAAAGGTTCTGATTTAAAGAGCCTGGTAGTTATGCATGTTAAAAAGGAAATAAATGATTCAACCATCAGAAGAGACATCTGGAACTGTCTGTACAAATAACTTTGGGGGGGCGGGGATGTCTGGAGGGGGTTTTATAGTTAGAATTCTCATGCTGCAGACACCATGGAGCATCAAAACACTGCAACTGATGGTGGAAGCTGGAACTCTGGAAACTGAGCACACTAATGGGAGATTAAAATTCAGTTGCAGAATTTCTAATTATAATAAAAAGCTTCTCATGTGTTTAGCTTATTGTATTTTATGGTTTCTTTTTTTTGTTTTTTTTTAGGTTGTTCACAGAGACCTGAAGCCTAGCAATATTCTTTACGTTGATGAATCTGGTAACCCAGAATCAATTCGAATCTGTGACTTTGGCTTTGCAAAACAACTGCGAGCAGAAAATGGTCTTTTGATGACTCCATGTTACACAGCAAATTTTGTTGCACCAGAGGTAAAACCCAGGCTAGTTTATATGCCTTGATATATTTTACTGGGAATTTTTTGCTAGCTACTTTTTTTTTGTTGTTGTTGTTCTTGTGTAACAAGTAGAATCACTCTGTAAACAGTAAAAATTTGAAATTTTACCATTTTTATAGCATAATGTAAGCATTTCTAAGCATTTTTTTCAGAAAAATATTTGTCTCCCTCAGGTTTTAAAGAGGCAAGGTTATGATGCTGCATGTGACATATGGAGCCTTGGTGTTTTACTTTATACAATGCTTACTGGGTAAGGGTGATTCATTTGATTTGCTGTAGAATACCAAACCAGTAATAAATGTAGGCCAACTGTTGCAGCTGTTTCTATCAAAGCACTGATTAATCTCAACTTTAGGGTTGAGAATATGCTTTGCCTTTAGTAAAATCCAAGTTTGCAGGGACTGATGTGAAAAATTCTTTGCTTCTATTGTCTCCTCTATTTTAGACTTAATTTTTGCTTAAAGGTGATTTTGCACTAAGAATTGTTTCATGTGAAAATTAAAGGATAGGTTAAGCAGCACATATGTTGAAGAGAATATATGTTGCAAATACAATTGCAATGTATTAAAACATGTTTCTGTGCAAAGTCCAGCCACTGAATGTTTGAAGTGATGTAGTTAGAATATAGTAAATGCAATAGAAAGGCATTTGTATATGCAACAGAAATGAATTGTATAAAAGATGATAAAGAATTTAACTACAGTACCAGAAGTGTAAAATAAAATCTATTTAGCAGATGCAATAGCAGCTATCTTTTTATGCTTGGTTGTTCAGATTGCCACTTTTTGATGATGCTAACTCTTAACCAGATTTTCGTATTTTAAAATAAATTAGTGACAAACATATTTGGTTTTAAGTATACCTCTTTTTTAGTTGGGGGCATTCTGATAGCAGCAAGAGTATGTATAATCAAGCAAGGAAAACTGGTGCACATTTCTTCCTCTGGCATTAAACCAACATTTATTCTTTCTCACACATTTAGATTTACAACAGAATGGATTGGTTTAGTACTTCACTAGAATATGAAAGCTTAAGGAATACTTTCTGTAATTCAGGAACCACCAGTATTTGAACTGCTATGGGAAAAATCATCTTTTCAGACCAGATACAGAGGGAATTCATGCAATAAGAACAGATCTATAGTCAGTGCCATGTATTGTCACGTGTAAAGAATAAATTCTTTTTGCAACTGTTTAACTATCTGTTGCTTATAATTATGTTGAACTTGCAATCAGATTTATAATACATACTGAGGCCGAGGTTATGGAAGTTACTAACATTAAATTTGTTTGGTTAAAAAGCTACACTCCCTTTGCAAATGGTCCTGATGACACTCCAGAGGAGATTTTGGCCCGAATAGGAAGTGGAAAGTTCTCCCTCAGCGGTGGTTATTGGAACAGTGTTTCAGACACAGCTAAGGCAAGTATATTTGCTTTGTCTCTTGGGGGATCAGAGATGGATTGCAATGTCACATGCTGATTATAATGTATATGTTATATCATAGATGACTGTTATATTAAAATACTGATCTTATCCCTTATGTGCCCGAAATTTTGTTTCCTGTTTTTTGATCTGTTCATGTTTCAGCAGTCACTTGCATATAGGAGGAAAGAATAGGTGTGCCTTACATGCTAGTAGTTAATAGCTGCTCTGAGAAATACAGTGTGTTTTATCATTATTCAAACACAAATTATCCATGGTAATAAGGGCTTAGATAATACATCATGTGGAAGCATGACATTCAAAAATCATACAGATACTCTAAATCATGATAATGAAAACCACTGAAGTATTACACTTTCTTTTAAACTGCACTTGTGCAAAATAAAAATTTTGTACAACATTTTTGAGAAGCTTATTTTTAAAAGCAAGTAGACTCTGAACTTCAGCATGCAATATCCTTTATGCCCCTTCTATATGGATGCTTAAAATACTAAAATTTTCTTAGTTTAATTGGATAACTTCCTTTTGTGTTACCAAATGTCTGTTAAGTCATATAATTAAAAGATATACTGTCAACATTGCTGGGTGGTTTTTCATTTGTTTTGAACTGACATTACAAACATACTTTTATACCTCTAGAATCTTCTTTTATAGTTTTGAACTACTAATCTGTTTTAAAGCTGAACTTCTACTGTTATTTCCATCAACTCTTCATTGACAGGACCTTGTTTCAAAAATGCTTCATGTTGACCCTCATCAAAGACTGACTGCAGCCCAAGTTCTCAGTCACCCCTGGATAGTTCACTGTGACCAGTTGCCTCAATACCAGCTGAACAGGCAGGATGCTCCCCATTTAGTGAAGGTAAGTAGATACTTGTTCAGCTTGCTGTTTAGCCAAAATTAGTGTAAACAAAAGGGAGTTTTGTTTTTAAGGTTAGGGGATAGCATATGTCTCCTCTAAATACTGTGGAAAAGTTGTTGCTGGCTGGATGTTGCACTGAGCCATAAAATGAACTTGTAATATGTAATAGGATTTAATGAGAAACCACTTACAGAGAATAAATCTAATACATTTGAAAAAGACTTTCATCTTTTTGTGTTTGAAATCTATTGGACTTACACTGGAAGGCTTAAGTGCTTTCAGAAACCAACATAAATCATTCTTCTCATAGTGAAAAATGTCAGGTGACTATAGATCTGTAAAATTGTTTAAAATCTGTAACTTTACAGTTTCAGGGAAGGGTACATGCCAATAACTGAAGGAAAACAGAATACTATGTGATCATAGTAAAAGCTAAAGAGAAGTCTAAAGGGCAGTGTTAATTACTATGGTATCATACTTCTGCATTCCATCTGAAACAAGATCTGGTTTTAACCATGGAACTTCTTCATTTTAAATAAGCAGAGGAAAATCAAAAATAATTGAATTCTACTTCTTTGTATTCAACCTTGTTTTCAGTCCTACTTTCAAGAATCTCTTGTGCAACATAAAAGGGATCTGAAGAATATAATTAACACTCTCTGAGTCAGCTATTAGAAATTTCTAGCATCCAAAAACACAAGTGGAAAGTGGGGGAGTTCTGATCCCACAGCTCACAACTTTCTAAATGTTTTTAAAATAAATTTCATGTGCTGAATAATGTGGGTGATTTTTAAATATTTTGCTGGAAACTGAAATGGTTATATAAGTGATAAGTTGAGACGGTCTACCAATGGGATTTCATTGCCCAACTCTCACACAACATAGTGAGAGAACTTAATTTGGCAACCTAGATTATGCCTTCTGGGTTTGACTCTTTAAAGCAATGTAAAACTACATATTACCCTAAAAAACACTCGCTCCTAACAGTGCTAGGACTTGAGTAATGCAGTAGTATATTTCTGTTTTGTAAATGAAAATAGTCTGAAAGTTAAAACTTGTTCAGTTTCTGGTATTTAGCACTGCTGTAATGTGTGCATCAGTCACAACACACTGTTCTTTTCCCCTCTACTCCACAGGGTGCAATGGCAGCAACTTACTCTGCTTTGAATCGTAATCAGTCACCAGTTTTGGAGCCAGTTGGCCGTTCTACTCTTGCTCAGAGGAGAGGTATAAAAAAAATTACCTCAACAGCCCTGTGAAATGACCTCAACCAGACACTTGGTACCATGGTATAAGATGATAGCACAAATCATGGCGACAGGTAGCACATATCTGACAGATACCTGCAAGCACACTCTGTCCCAGCTGGTACCTATAATGCTGCTGCTCCTGCTGCTGCTACTGCTTTCATCTACTCTCGCTTTAAACTGTTGATGGCAAGTTACTGATCTTACTGGAGCTGCAAATGGAGTGACAAGTGGAAACAATGAAAATTATCATGTTCACGACTGAGTAAACCAGAAGAATTACAAATGCCACCTCTGTCAAAAATACACTGAATAAAGCACTCTGCACCACATAGCATTATTTTTATAAGGAATATTTTTTTTGTCCCCTAAAATATTCTTTGTTACAGGTAGAGATGGACAGTTTATGTTAAGCACTTAGCTTAAACAATCTGTTTATATTAGCACTATATACATTGTGCCATCCAACATTTTGTATGTTTTTGTAAACAGTTCACGAGCAGTACATTTCTGTGCTGTTTTCTTTAATGTATACATGCCTTGTTTAACTTAGATATTATTAATCATTATGACCAGTAAGTCTGATTAAACAGTTCACCTGGATTAATCAGTATTGTTGGACAGCTCTAAAGGAAGCCTGACTGTTAAACAGCTATTGAATGTAATACTATGGATAAGTAGTTTTCCTTGCCTATGTCTTTTCTACATTTCCGTGTTTTTGATGCCACATGTCATGTTATGAAATTTAAACAGTGAATCTCCCACTATACTTATATATCCTATAGGTAATATAATCCAGAGAAAAGATAACTTGCTCCATATCTCACTGTCTTTGTTACCCCTCCCCTCCCTTTTAGTCTCTCACCTCTAATCTCTGGACTCAGGAATTACTGCTAAATACTTTCTGATAGAGGACATCTCTATATGATTTATTCTTATAATCCATTGTTAATATTTTATCTGTATTCTATGACTTTTGTTTAAGATGCAAAGGAATTATTCAGTGAATGAATGTTGGCATTATAGAAGAAAGGCAACATTTGAAGAAAAAGTAAAACATATTGGTCACTAATAAACAGCAGCCTGCAGAGAGTAGGTTTAAACTGCATTCATTGCAGTTGCAAAACTGATGGATGTAATATTCTGTCAGTTACTTTCTGATAATTTTAATTGACTTCAAAAGCAAAATGAGAGGCAAGTAATAAAGATCTGTTTGGTTAGAAAAGGGTCATTCTAATTTACCGTGAAAATAGTGTCATCCCAGTCAGGTAAGACAAAGCCATTCAGAGGGAATGTTCTCACTTTTCTGCAGATGGAAGTGTGAGTGTTGGTAATGAGGGTGGAACATTCACTTTAAATACTGATACAAGCTTTCAATACTCCTGGCCTCTTGGTGTGTAAAGTAATTAAAGGCCCATCTTGATGGTTGGTTTTGAAAAGATGAAATTGCCCAAATGAGAAGCGACTCTGGCACGTGTTTGAATACAGTGAGTGTTCCATTCCACCAAAATTATAGGCTATTAAAGTCCTTCCAGATATGAAAATGACTACTGGGAATTCCAGATTTAATAAAATATGGATCTGGATGAATGGCTGTTTGTGAACAATGCAATTTTGTGTTTTGGGTAAGAAGGTATTTTCTTGGCTTAGTGTATTAAATTTCTTTTATGGTGATTAATTGGCTTATTTCCCTGAAATCATCAGTGGTTTGTTGAAAGGAAAAAATCTTTGACACTACAGATTTGCTCTGAATGGGAGTTTTTCTTCTGCCAGAATTTGAGTTCCTCGGGGAAGCTTCCTTTGCTAGATTTTACTTTTATTGCCCTTAAAAATTTGCTAAATATTAAATCCATTATATAATTGTGAAGAAATTTTTTTTATAAACAGGGATTCTTAAATTAGCCTAGCTCTCAGAAATTTAAAGAAACAGCTCTTCCCAAGCAGATAGTATTTTTCCCTGACTAGATGCTCTAGCATTGAAGTTCTCTTTAGCTCTACAGGTGTGTTTTACCCTTCCTTCAAGAAACACTTTTAAGTAGAGGCAGAAAAAGGCTGTTTTTTGTTTTTTTGGTTGGTTAGAGGAATTTAGTAAAAACTTAGCTCTCAAAAAAAATGTGTTTTTTGGTTCTGTGATAAATTTTATGTCAGGCTTCTCAAAATCTAGAAACTGCACCTTCTGGTGGTTTTTAAGTTGTTAATTAGAAGACTGTCATATCTAGTCAACCACATTATTTAAATGCTGTTGAAATAAAAGGATGGCAGTGCTTGCCAGTGTGTCAGTAACAACATTTCACTTCAGGAAGGAGTTCCTACTCTGTTCAGTGTGTGTATATAGGTACCAGGCAAAGAACAGACCAAAAAGAGAAAGTGTTAAACTGCCTCACTATTTGCAATATCCACATTAAAATAATATAGAAATACTTTCAGTAGTTTCATTGTAGCCATATTTTGTGGTTCTCAGGCTCACTGATCATTAGCCAAATAGTGAAGCAAAGTTAACACCTGCATTTTACCTATCTACACTCTCAAGTGAGCTGTTAATTTAGCCTTTACAAATGTTGCTATTAAGTCATGTATGTATATCAGCAGAGGATGAATATTTTAAATTGTAGCAAAACAGGAAAATTTAGGACACCCTAAGCTGAATGTGTTGAAGTCTAGATCCACTATATTTTAAAGTTACTTTCTAAACCAAGGTGTAAAGGGCCTGCCTAATCAGGGAGGTGTATTTTACAGGCCAGGCATGGTTTATGTACCTTACTTCCTGGTTTGGATCCATGTTCACGATTTTCAAATTTTTTTTATGTTTTTATAGCTGCAGTTGTTTTAACATATAAAGAAATCTACATAATGCTTCTCTGAGTCTCAGCACCTTTGTGTTATATGTGAGTATATGACACACTGTGTACATTCATTGCTGGACTGCTGCTTAGTCTGCAAAGCATAGCAAGTGACTCAGAGTCATAAAGGATTAAAAAAAGAGAATGCAGATACAGGTGAATTTTCTATGTGTTGACCATGGTTTGTTTCTAATTTTTTTTTAGTGTGAAATTACCGTTTACTGTGCTTGAGAGCATGAGGTAACGGAGGGAAGAGTGTAGTTGCAATACCCATTAAATGCCATCTATGTCTAGTAAGGACAAAGTTCTCTGTTCATAATCACTATAGCATTGAATGAAACTTAAAAGGAGTTTTTCAAGAAAATATTTAAAACTTTTTTTCTGAAGAGACAAGGCCATAAGAAAATAGATTTATGTGTCTGGGATTTGTGTGTTGTGTGTGTGTTTTTCTTTTGTAAATGTGGTGTTACCAACTAAAGCTGTGCTTTTCTATTATTGGAAGGAAAGGATTCAAAGTGTGCTGGCCTTTACTAAGCAGCAAGGGTTAACAGATGAATTTTCACATATGAAATGGTGTAAATGATTAGCTTTATCTTGATACTCTTGACCTAATCAAAGGGAAGATGTACTTATGAGGGATGTAATTATTTTGCAACCTAGTTGGGGGGGATGTCTACTTAAACCATTTTTAAAAAATTACAAAATCACAGATAAAATATTTTTCTACGATTCTATACAATCATACTTTATACTAGTTTTCTCAGCATGGCATGTAAGTGAGTCTAGGGTACTGTTCCAGGAAATCAGTGGTATTGTACCTTGTTCTAGACTATTACAATAGCATCTGTTAGATGCTTGGCACTGCTGTCATAGAACTGAAATGCTAGTTTAAAAAAGTAATTAATTGTACTGAATACTTTAAATGATTGTTTTATTCAGAATCTAAGAGAAGTTCCAATCATGCTATTAATGTGTAATTAAAACTGTTCCAGATGTAACTATGAACAGTTTTGGAAAGTTATCATTGCTTGTTTTCCTGTCTAATGGCAGGTTTTGTAGTCTTCAAAAGAAAATGAAATTTCTACTATGAATAAACTTTCAAACATCTTAAAGGGTTGTTTTGTGTAAGCATTTGTTCTGCGCAGTTACAAAAGTCATTGCTTGTTCATCACTAACTCTGAAATACCTTCACAGTACACTGAGTGTGCTTTGCCAGCCAGAAAGGGTTTGTAAAAAGCAAGTTGTCCCCAACACTGGAGCATGATGAAGAAGCTAAACATGAAGACAAAGGAAAAAACTCATGTTCAGCTGGTGCTTATAGACCTGATCTACAAGAAGACCGCAGTGCAAGGATATTGTATCAGATTCCAGTCCACTCTAAAGCACCACTTAAGGGGAGGCTGCTAAATAACAGTTGCAATGCCTGCATTGCTCTGGACACTGAAAAAGTGGGCATGTTGGATAATTAATGCACTTTGTAAACATTTGAAACATAATATATGCAGAAGCACTCAGCCGTGATTCTTTTTAACCTTGCAATCTGGACAAGATGGAAGATTTTCAAAGGTTGCATAGTCTACAAAAAATTGCAGTAATTGCGATAGAGGATTTGTGAGAACTGTAACCAGAGGTTTTGCCAAGTGCACCAAAAGAAAGGCATCAGAGAACATGGAGACGTTTGGTAATGGTTATGCAGCAAGGGTACTGTGATTTCCTCAGTGAAACTCACACCTGGGATCAGAGGTGTGGATACCTGTGGCCCTTTGTTCACACAAGGCTTTATCCTGCCTGTCTAAAAACACTATTTAACTATTTTTAAAATAAATTTTAAAATTTATTTACAAGTAAACTGGATAATTTGTAAGCCTCCAGAAACTCTGCAAAGGCAAAAACGGGCTGGTACACCAGAGCTCCTGCTGTCGGCTTTCTCACCTTCATACCCTCTGATTTACAGAATCATAGAATCGTTTGGGTTGGAATGGAGCTTGAAAATCTTCTAGTTCCCATCCCCCTGCCGTGGGCAGGGACACCTCCCACTACCCCAGGCTGCTCGGAGCCTCCCAGCCTTGCCTTGAACACCTCCGGAGATGGGGCATCCACAGCTTCTCCGGCAGCCTGTGCAGTGCCTCACCAACTGCGTAGAAAAGAATTGCTTCCTAATGTCTCATCTAAATATGATACATGAATCATGATGAAAGAGATGATAAAGATGATGATGAATGAGACTCTTTCAATTTAAGCCCATTCCTCCTCGTTCCGTCACTACGCGCTCCTGTAAATAGTCTTGCCTCATCTTTCCTGGCAGCTACTGCAGGTACTGGAAGGAGTCACGCCTAACCCCGCTCCCCCGAGCTCTGCGCGGTGTTGCGGGGCTGTGTTCCGGGGCTGCCGTGGTGCGCGCTGCCCGCTCCTCCTGCTCCTTTTCCTTGAGTTCTCCCCGGCGAGGCCTCGCAGGGCCCAGGCGGGGCCGTTCCCGGGCGGGGCCGTTCCCGGGCGGGGCCGTTCCCGGGCGGGGCCGTTCCCGGGCGGGGAGCGGGCCCTNGGGAGGCCCGGCCCGCGGCTCGCTTGTCAGGAGCGGCCCTGCCGAGGAGGCGGCCGGGCCCCTCCGCGCCCTCGCTGGGCAGTGCTGCGGCCGCTTCCCTGCTTTCTTACCCCGGAAAAGAAACGCAGAAACCGTGAGGGGAAGGGAGCAGCAGATTTTAACAGCGGGGCAAGTATGAGCTGCTCTTATGCTCCTTGTAAAGAGCATCTAATCCTGATGCCACGTGTGTGCCTTTTAAAAAGGGCAGCTTCACTTGGAGCGTAAGCTTCCTCTTGAGTATTTTAGGGATTTCAGCACCATAGTAACTGAAATTATTCATCTGCTTTTGATGATTACGTGTATCAGGCTATTCCACCGTTATTTTTGAGGTATTTGGTAGCAGGGACCACAGAAACTGAAAATGGCCATCTTCTGAAAATCTTTTTTGAAGGCTGCTGTCACTCCAGAGCAACCAGGACATTCTAAACAGTGGAGAGTCTAATGTTTAGTTACTTTGTTAATACTCCGCTAAAAATTTAGACTTGAAAGTAAGCAAAAAAAATATAGTTGTGGGTCATATACTTAAAAGAGCCATATAGAGTACAAGCATAAAAATCTTCTTAATTCTGATTTTTTTCACTCACTGTATCTAGAAACAGTAACACATGCTTTTTACTTCTCCAACTTTTAATTTAGGCAAAGGAGGTAAAAACAGGCGACGAGGTAAGAATGAGAATGAATCAGAAAAAAGAGAACTGGTGTTCAAAGAAGATGGGCAAGGTGAGTTTTTAACTATAGTATGGCAATGTCCTTGTTTTCAGTCATATACTGTAAGTGACAGAATATAGAGAGGTATTCTTATTGGAGTTGTGTTTGAATTCCAAGTGACATATTGAGTGTAAGAGAAAGACAGTAGGAGAAGGGAAATTTCAATAGCTTCACCACTTAAGAATGAAGTTTCTCTCTTCTTGACCTTAGTGCAATGCTCTGTGTAAAACAGCACTTAAGCATTCCCTAGAAACCTCTTGATAGCTTTCTATGAGGGTCTGTGAGCAGCTGGCTTAGCAGATGTGGTTCCGTTTTGCCAGTAGTTGCCCCTGGGATGCGCAGTCCCACTTTGTGTTTTATATGGACTCTCGTATCTCTTGGATCCTTTGCTGAGCTCCCCAAAGTCACCGATATG